AGAGGTACAGGATTAAGAGACACTCTACTATATGTAAATTAAATAAGCAACAGGGATATATTGAACAGCACAGGGAAATATAACAATTATTTTGTAATAACTTTAAATGGAGTATAATCTATAAAAATACTGAATCACTATGTTGTAACCTGAAACTAATACAATATTGTAAATCAACTATACTTCAATTTCAAAATAAATTAATAAAGAAACAAATAACTAAAATATCAGTAACATATATATATATATATATATTTTTTTTTTTTAAGCCACTGGGGACTGTTTGTTACTAAGTAAAGCCTCACCTATGCTGACTGATACAGTACTCCCACAGGCAAGGCCTCAAACTAGGTGTCCTCCATGATTGGCTATTGAATTACATGCACAAGCTGCCCCTCTGATGCTGCTCCAGTAGGGCCAGGGATGGGGGCAGCAGTGACTGGAGGCATTGGTCTAACCACTGAGAAGAAGGGACAGTGATGATCAAGTCCCTCCCCCCACCCCACCCCCACTGTGGAGACTGTCAGAGTCCTGGTAAAGGTGGCCCTAAGTGACACAAAGCATCTGGGTTGGCAAGTCAAAGCCAGAGCCCTTTAACCACAGAGGCCATAATTCAGGGCAGAACAGCCACCCAGGCTGCAGCCAGCACAGGAGCTCAGCCCATCCATCCTCAAAACAGCCTGAAGGTGACATAGAGCTTTGGGCTCCTGGTTTCTGGCCACCAGAACCGAGGACAAGTTTGTTCTTGCTCCTCTGTTTTCCCCTGACAGAAGTCAGACTCAGAGAACTCCCCCTGCTCAGGAGTTCAGAACAAGAGCTCTGGAGTCAGTTGTTGACGCCAGGCGCTGCCTAGCTGTGTGACCTTGGACAAGTCCCTTTGCGTCTCTGAGTTACATTGCTCTCAGTTGGAAAACAGAGATAACTAAACTGGCCTCTTGGAGTTGGGGGCAGTTAGGAGGACTAGAGGAGATCTTTGTAGAGGGCTTAGTATAGGGCCAGCACAGGGAAGCATTCAGTACCTGGGAGTCACAGCTGAATAGATGCCGTCCTCTGTGCTCAGGGAGGCCAGGAACAAGGAAGGATGTGACAGTCCAGCTTCTTAAATAGTTATTTTTTTTACATGTTGGAATGGTTTAGTAGAAAAGTTCAGAGAATAATGAGTACCACAAAAGAGGCAGCCGGTGATACAGCACCACTGTTAAAGCACAGACCTGGGACATGGGAATGACGTCAAACCTTGGTCATGGGAATGCTGTGAGGGTGACATGAGGGGTGACATGCACAGTGCGAGAAGAGGGGCTGGCTCACGGTAAGAGCGCACGGACATCAGTTTTGTAGAACTGCAGTTATTAAATCTTACCTATTTTTATCGATGACCTGGAGGGTGACTAGAGGCATAATGAGGACTGAGGATGGGAAGGGTTGCAGCACCCTGTCTTTAAACCTGAGAAGAGAGGCATCCATGGGCGGAGCCAAGGCCACTTGCAGGTGTCTCTGGCTGTCCCGGAGAGACACACAAATACATCCTGTCCTATGGGGCTCAGGAGAAAAGCTAAAACAAAAGAGGGCAAGCTGGGACAAAGTAAGAGAGTGGCATGGACATATATACACTACCAAATGTAAAATAGATAGCTAACGGGAAGCAGCCGCATAGCACAGGGAGATCAGCTCGGTGCTTTGTGACCGCCTGGAGGGGTGGGATAGGGAGGGTGGGAGGGAGGGAGACGAAAGAGGGAAGAGATATGGGAACATATGTATATGTATAACTGATTCACTGTGTTATAAAGCAGAAACTAACACACAATTGTAAAGCAATTATACTCCAACAAAGAAGTTAAAATTTTTTAATTTAATTTAATTTTAAAAATAAATAAATAAATAAAATAAAACAAAAGAGTGGGGCTGAAGGGGGCCAGGTTCAGCCCACCACATGGAAGAGCTTTCTGAAATCCACAGGTTCTCTGACTGCTGAGCCCAAGCTTCCTGGCTTGGCATCCAAGGCCCCGCAGGATCAGGCCTCCTCTCCAGCATCCTCTCCCAGCCAGCCCTTTGCCTCCAGCCCCAGGGACCCACCTGCAGGTCCCTCCCCTCCCCTGCCTTTGCCCCTGCTGTTCACCCAACTGGAACCCCCTCTCCCTTCATGCCTGCCTGGTGAACAGTGCTCAGGGCTCTCCAGGACCCAGCTCAGAGAGCCCCTCTTCTCCAAGTCCACCTCCCCAGGCACTGGAGGGGCTCCATAAATGCTCCATGTTATTATTTTTAATCTGTTAGCTCCAGGCTCTGCCACTTCCTGGCTGTGCATTCTCACGTAAGTGACTCAGCCCCCCTGAAATGCTACTGCACGGGGATGCTGCGGAGAGAGTCAAGTCCACATGTGAAGCTCTTGGGCCAGCACTTGGAGACACTGGGGTCCACTGAAAGGAAACCTCTCCGCAGCCTCCCAGGGCCTGAGGGGCCTGCAGGGCACGAGGCATTTATTTGCAAGAGAGATGGTTGGTTATTCCAGAAAGGAAGTGGGGGAGGGAAAAAGAAATTACATCCCTCCCGCCCAACTTTGTAAGCATTATTGATTGGAGGCAGAAGTCACCAGCGTTGCAGTTTCATTGATTGACTGGGCTGGGCTGGGCTCTTCAGGGTAATGTGAGCTGCGTACACAATCAGTTCTGTCCCTGCCCTCCTGGCACATTGATTATGGATTAAAGGTGCTGCGCCCCGCCCCCTTTTCCAGGAGGGATGCAGGGGCAGAGGCCAGGGGACCCACAGAGGAGGGAGCAGCAGTAAAGAAAAGGAACTCCCTGCCCCCGTAGCTTCCCTTCTGTCCATTACAGTGACGTTTTCATATTTCATGAGTGAATTTCCTCTCTCTAGATCTGTTCTTTGAGGCCAAGAAATGGATCCGCTTCCTTGGGACACAGCCTTGTGCCTGGCACAGAGTAGGCCCATATATGTTTCGTAAATAAAGTCTTTGAGCTCCCCTTTGCCTGGAACCTCACACTCCTGGAACATTCAGACTCTAAATATCAGAGTTGGTGAAGGAGATGCTGAGACCCAGAGAGAGGGAACAACTCTCCCAAAGCTGCACAAGCTCTCAGCGCATCCAGGACTGATTCTCAGTGCAGGGCCTCTTCCAGCTCCTGTTCACATCTGCTGGGCATGTCTGAGGCTGCAGAACGGTCACTTTACGAGAGTGTAAAGAATTTATTTTCCCCAAAAAATAAATGACTGAAGAAGATACCCAAATGCTTATAAATGTGCTAAAACCACCTTATCAGCACATAAACTGCAGAAGCATACAGGGGGAGAAGGCCCCCGCCCGCCAGGCAACAACAGGCCCATTCAGTGTGCCCTTGATGGCACCAGCTCTATAGGCACCCACTAAAACCCAGCGGGAAATTCTGTGCACAAGGGCAGCCGGACCCCCAGAAAGTGAGTTTCAGATGGCTTCACTATTCCAACTTCACAGCAGCAAGAGCAGAAGACAAAATCTACATTGTCATATAAAAGTACCAACCAACCTAGCATCTTTCACAGAAAATCACAAACTACTTTTACTTGTCTAAGGGGGAAAGCTGGCTACTTCTCATGGAGAATTTGATGGGTTCTGACAAAGAAAAGAAAATGTGGTATAGAACAAGAAGGAGAAAAAGCATATCATTTATTGCAGTCCTACTGTGTGTGACACAGAGACGGGCACTTTTAACTCATTTTCTAAATTCACCCACGAACCCTGTGGAACGGGTATTATTATCCCAAAGCCCAGCTCTGCACCTGCTCCACGAATATCTGCTGACATCAAACACCCACTGTTGGACCTGTTCACTTCACCTGATGGCAGAACAGAGCCACTCGACCCAGTGGCACCCATCAGCCAAGCATGACAGTGTCTGTTTCAGCAGCTACCTGCTTTCTCAGCTCTGTATCCCAGCATCTGGGGGCAGGCACTGAGGTTTCTCTCTCTCTCTCTCTCTCTCTCTCTCTCTCTCTCTCTCTCTCTCACTCAGTCTGGACATCTCTTCTCTGCCTCTCACCCTGGCCCTCCTTCACCTCTACGCCCTCCTTTCTCTCCCCCTTCCCTCCTTCCCTTCCTTGCCAATGTTTATTTTCAGAACCTCAAAATCCTTCCCAAGCCTCTGACATTTACTCTTTAGAATTAGAAAAGTTTCCAGTTCTCTTTCCCAGAGCAAAACTGGTGGATAAGGTTTCCCCAGGGATCTTGCCTGCCCTTCTGGAGGTGAAGTTCTGGAGGCAGAGCTGGCTTATGTCAGCCCAGCACCGATTGTGTCAACCAGCAGTTATTAGGCACCCACTGTGCACCAAGCCCTTCTCGTGAACATTCAATCCATTCAATCCATTTAAGAAGCCTGTGGGGCTGGCATTACCATCTGCACGTGCAGGATGAATGAACCAAGGCTTAGAGCAGTTAGATAACAAGTCTAAGGGGCAGGGAGAGGAGGGAGGAGGAAGAAGAAGGTGGGGAGGGGGAGTAACAGATCACCAGAATGAGCAGGTGGTGAGGGCTCTACACACACTAACTCATTTATCCTCAAAACAACGGCATGAGATACATATTATCATGATCTCCAGTTTATAGATGAAGAAACTGAGGTGCTAAGAAATTAAGTAACTCATTCAGGGCCATGGCCACGCCAAGATTTTGACCAGGGTAGCCTGGCTTCAGAGTTGGGGTCTTAACCACTGCACGGCACAGCCTCCCTGCAGGACTGTTAATGGGCTCAATCAAGGTCAGCCTCACCTGCAAAGCTGAGTGGCTTCCTTTGGTAGGAGAGGAAGAACCCTGGAATATTCCTAAGCAGGGAGGGGGCTGGCATGGTCAGGGCTGTGCCTGAGACACAGCACATGGCAACTGGGTGACGGTAGGTCTGGGGCAGGGCAGTGGGGAGGAGTGGGTGGTGTCCAGGCAGGGCCGGTGAAGACCTGATGCAGGCAGGGCAGTGCGGAATGGGGGGAGGGGGGGGCGGGGCTCTGAGATGCCCATTAATCTCCCCTTGGCCATTTGTCTTTGTGCCTGCGAGCATGGGGCGGGGGCCCTGTTGACGGTATACAGCCTGGCTCTGAAAGTGTGCCTGCCTGGGTAGGCGTCCTTTCACGGTGCTCCCTGCCTCGCAAAGGAAGCAGCCAGTGCCAGACTCTGCAAACCCTCCCCGTTGTTGGGCCACAGGAACAGGCCTGGCTACACGGAGGGCGTCTCAGCGAGCTCTGCTCAGGATGGATGAAAGCACCTCAGCTGCGGCCCTGCCACAATGTTCCCCTTCCAAAGGGAAGACCAGGGATTCCGTGGGGATCCAGCAGGAGTCAGGGACACAGCCTGTCTCCATTGGGTTGTGTTCTGGGCACTTGGCAGAAAAGCTGGTTGACTCCAGGTAAGATGGATGGAACCATGCCTCACAGGGTAACTGACTTTGTCAGAGAAGGAAACAGGCAAGGAGACAAACCATCCATCACCTTCTTTTCCATTTGAGGGATGGAGGGAAGCAGAGAGCAGAGCCGGGCTCTGGAGAGGGCAGAGGTTACTCTTCTCTGCGGCCAGTGTGGAGGGCGGCAGTGCACTGGCATCCTTCCTCATTGCCATCCACTGGGGAACACCAGGGAGGCTCTGATTTGCTAAGACCAATAGGGACCATCAGACCAGTGATATCCCTTTCCTCGGCCCCCAAATGGCCCACTTAGCTGTGCTGCTGGACCCAGCTGCCTTTCTTTTCAGGCCTTGCCTCAACTCTAAACCCATCATCAAAGGAATGAAAAATAAACCACCCCGGCACTCGAGATCTCCGTTCCACGGTCCCAGGAGTCCCGACCGGTCCTCTGGGCTGCAGCCAAATCAAAGCACTTTGTTTGTTGATTTTTCCATTCATTCATGACCATTAATTGAGTATCTGCTATGTCCTGGGCTCCGGCTGTTGGCGTTAGGGGTGCAGAAGTGAACAAGACAGGCACGACTGCCCCTGCCTGTGGAGGATACAGATGTTATACAAGTAAAAACTGTCCCCCACTATAAACTTCCCGCCTCTGAGCATTTGCACTTGCTGTGCCCTTTGACTAATTCATCCAGCTATTGATCCATCACCTACGTCTGTAATTCTGGACACAGGACTGCAATTGGGAAAACTGAGGCCAGGGCCAGAACAGAGACACTGTCCAAGTCCTGGATCCCCATATCTCAGCGATGGCGCCACCATCCCCAGGCTTGAAACCTACACACCATCCTTTATCCCTCCCTTTCCCTCACCCTCCCTCGAAATCCATCACCAAGGCCTGTTGACTCTAAATCCTGAATTCCCCTAAAAGCCACTCCCATGTCCTCTGCCTCAGTTCTGCCCCTGCGCTTTCTCCCAGTGCACTGGGCCAGCCTCCCGGTCTTGCCGCCTTCCATCTTTCCTTCTCCAATCCAGCCCACGCTGGGAGCCAGAGGGCCCTTTCAAATGCACGAGTGTGACCATGTGGTCACATGGTCCTTCTGCTCAAAAGCATTCAGTAGCCACCCTGCAGGGACTCAGCATGCTTCCCAAAGTCCCCCACGTGGCACCGAGCCTACCCAGGACCCAGCTCCCATTCACCTCTCTGCCTTGGGGTCTCCTCTCTCCCCATCACAGGATATACCCTAACCACACAAACTACTGGAGGTCCCCAGGGCTCAGCTTCTCTCCCCTGGGCCTCTGCACATGCTGTCTCCTCTGCCTGGTGCACTTTGCCCCTTCCCACTGGTCATTTACTTTTTCAAGGCCGTGCACAGGTATCACCTCCTCTGGGTTAAATCCGCCGCATGTTCTCAGAGCTCTGACACTGCCAGCCAGCAGGCGGCTTTCCTCCCTGCGGTGATTTAGGGCCCAGGCTCCTTCCACCTCATGGTTCCGCCTTCCTCCAAGGCCTCAAATTGCTCTGCTTCCAGCTTGCAGAGGGGAAAGAGAGAGTGGAGAAGACACACCTGCTTCTTAATCACCTCAGCCAGAAGTGACAATCACATCACTTCTTCCAACCCACTGGTGAGAGCTGATCCTATGGCTCCACCTACATGCAGGGGGTGCTGGGAAAGGTAGTCCCAGGCAGCCCCTTCCCAGCAATGTCTCTACACAGCGCCTCACATGCATCGCCACCTTGTCATCATCTCTGTATTAGTTTACTAGGGCTGCTGTAACAAGATACAACAAACTGGGTGGTTTAGAACAACAGAAATTTACTTCTCACAGTTCTGGAGGCCAGAACTCTGTATCAAGGTGTCAGCAGGGCCGTGCTGCCTCAGAAGGCTCTGGAGGAGGACCTGGTCCTGAGGCCTCTGCAGGCTCGGGCGTTCCTTGGCTCACGGCCATCTTCTCCCTGTGCCTCCTGACATCGTCTCCTGCGTCTGTCTCTGTGTCCAAATTTCCCCTTTTTATAAGGACACCAGTCATACTGGACAAGGACCCACCCTAACAATTTCATTTTAACTTGATTACCTCTGGCAAGATCCAGTTTCCAAGTAAGGTTACATTCTGAGGAATTGGGGGTAGGACTCGCGTGTATCTTTTTGGAGAAACACAATTCCACTTACGGCAATCATCAGCTCGCTTCATCCGCAACACCTGGACCATTTTTACCACCATCGTCGTCTACATCGGGGGGCCTGCAGGAGGGTGGAGTAGGTTGTCAAGAGGCTTTGAGGCAGACAGAAGTGGATTCAAGCCCTTCTTTCCAAGGGAGCAACAATCAGGAGGAAACCAGCCCACTGGTCTGGGCGGGGCGGAGAAGCAGGAAGCAGGAAGGTGCTGGGAATGGACCGCTCCAGACGGCATCCCAGCTGGTCTTTAATGCTGCAGGTTCTGAAACGTGCTGCACAGAAAGAAAACAGACTCAACTGAAATGGAAATGCCTTATGATGGGCAAGAGGGGGAGAAAATGGAAACTGCTTCCTTTCAGGAAATGTTTTATGTCACTCCTGAAAGGAGATCTCCTAATAAAAGCAGCCCTGATGCTAATTGAGACAATGGAGATGAGAGAGCATGGAGCCCCCGGGGAAAGATGCCAACAGTAACTGTGGTCACAGTAAAGCTTGTCTGCCCTGGACACAGCCCAGAGAAGAGGGTCTGGCGCTGACGATGGGGAGCCTGGAAGGAGCTGGGAGCCCCACTGGCACTGACTTGCCGAGTGACCCTGGGGAGGTCACATAAGGACTCCTCCCTCCCCACCCACCTCCAGCAGCCACAATGGCCTCCAACCTCCTTCCTGGGTCAGAAGGTCAAAGGCCATGGGCAGGCCAAGTACTGTGCAGGGGAAGAAGAGGCTCTGGGTTTAGCTATGCCGCGGGAGCCTGGGAGGCATTCAGATACTCCATCTGCACAGGCATGAGTTACAGGTTCACCACTTTCCTGCAGGAGCTGGGCCAGAGGGGGGCTCCAGGGCCCAGTGCTCACTCCTGACCTTGCCACCTGGCAGGCAGCTTTCCTTCCTCCTGGGCAGAGGTTCAGGGCCCAGGGATGAGGGCAGCCCCCTCCTGCCTCTCAGGAGCTGACCATCCCTGTGCAGGACAGACGGTGGCAAGTCTGTGGGGTCATTCAGAGGTGGATTGGGGGAAGGTGAGGACAGGAGACTCACAGCCCTGCAGGAATCACCCTGGGCTATTTCTTCATGTAGGGCAGCCCATCTAAGCCTCTTAGCAAACCACAGTGGCCCCATTTTGCAGATGAGGAAACTGAGGTCGGAGGGATATGCCCAAGTCACACAGCAGGAGAGTGGTAGAGCTGAGGCTTGAACCCAGGCCTCCTGGCTCCAGAGCTGGTGGCTTGCTCAGCCTCACACTGAAGCTCTTTACAAGTGGGCATCTCCCCTCTAGCCCCTGTGCCCCGTCACTCATCTCTACGTCCCTGTTGTGCTGATTCCCATACCCCAGACTAAGGAACCCCTTCATCAGCCTCCTCTGGGAAGCTCATTAAAGATGCAGGTTCCTGGACCCCACCCACAGCTGCTGTATCAGCATCTCTGGCGCTAGGGGGCCTGAACCTGCAGTTTCTTAAAAACTTCCCTGGGGAGTTATGTCCAAGGAGTACTGCCCCAAGCCCTAAGTGCCACTCTCTCTGTGCCTTTGGGCCTGGGGGGCAGACACCGTGTTAAATGCTTTACGTCTAGTGATTCAGCCAAACCTCACTGCAACCTATGAGGTCTCCACCATTATGTCCCCATTCTATGTCCCTAGAGAGTTTACCTCAGTGGCTGGCATATAGTTGTCACTCAAAACACACCTGTTGACGAACTCGCTTCATATATGTGAACTCATTTAAGGCCCAACGGAAGTATGAAGCAGATTTAGTTCCCATTTTACAGAAAGGGAGACTGAGGCTCAGAGAGGTTAAGTGATTGGAAGAGACAGGGTCAGGATTCAACAGGGCCAGAGCTGGCTGGTTTGCAGAGCACTGTCCAGGGCAAACTGTGCTCTCTCCCTCCCCCCGCGCACTGAGTGGCAGCAAGGGCTGGGCGAAGGGAGAATTGATCCTATGGCCCAGTGGCTTTGCTGAGGCCTGAGGCCAGGAGCCACAGGGTGCCAGCTGGGCAAGGAGTCCAGCTGAACCCAGAGAGGCTATTTTCATGTCTCGTGTGTGCTCAGATGCTGTAACTGTGCTGTCTGCTTCCATCACTGGTTTATCCCCCAGAATGCCCCCAGCCCAAGCTAGAAGCACTGGAGGCAGGGCGGCCTGAGCCCCTGCCACAGGGTCTCCCTCCAGGCCTGACCTGGCTGTGCCTGACCTCTGGGGAGGGGCGCTGTCCTCTGCCCTGTGCTGAGCAGCTCACCTGATCAGAAGGTCCCTTCTCCTGAGCTGAGCTCCGCCGCCTGGTGGTTCCTCTTGAAGATCCCAGCTCCACATCCAGGGATGACACAGAACAAGCGGAATCACCCACCCGACAGCCTTCACACAGCATCAACCACGGCAATAGCACCGGCAACAAGAGCTATTTACTGAGTGCTCACCACCTACCAGGCGCCACACAAAGGGATTCACTCGGATCATCTCATGGAATCTCATGACAACCTGTGAGGTGGGGGCAGTTACTGGCCAACTGTGCACATGGGGACTGAGGCTCATTGAGGCAGAAGATCCTGCAACATGAGTGCTCGAGAAATAGTTCACTCGCCCCCTTTCCTCTCCCTTGGATCCTGCTGAAACCTTGCTGGTGTCCCTTTCTGAACTCTCCTAAAATCCTAGAATAGCCCTCGGGCTGTCAATTCAACCAAATCTGTAACCTCATCCACCCCTGGATTCTCTTCACGTGAAATAATGTATGTCATTATGATGCAAGCCACTTTGATTGGGGTTTTATTGATTTGGAGTCTGAGCAATATTATAGACACAAGTTTCACGATAATGCAAAGGGCTGACATGACTGTTAGAAGAGATTATCAATGAAGTAGACACAGAGCCAGGAGACAGAGACACCGGGGTAATTCTGACCTCTTGCGCCAATGCCCCCTGCTGTCTGCATTCCCTTTCACAGCTCTCCAAGCACGTTTTGCTCTGGACAACCCCACTCACCCTTTACAGGTGATGCTCAGAGAGGTGAGGTCACCTAAGGTGACTCAGCTAGTGAGGGGCAGAGCCTGGGAGTGGACCCACTTTGGTGACAAATAGGGAGCGTTTCCCTGCACCATGGTCCTCAGCTGGGCCAATATTGCTGGCCCAATTAGATAGGTTCAATCTAATTGTGTGGATTACAGAACGACAATGCCAATTGAATGCACCCATCAGACAAGCCTCTGTTCTCCCTTAAATAAGAGAAAGTGAGAGGTGGAAACTGAGGCAAATGCATTTGGACAAGAGTGCGGCGGCTCCTACTTTAAGAGTCAGTAGGAAAATTGGAAGGGGGAGATGGTGATGCCCTCATTACCCCAACTATTAATATTACATCATTCATGGTCACTGACCACAGGCCATGGTACAGGTGAGGTAGACTAAACTTCTACCCAAGCCCCTAGCCAGCTGTAAGCCCACCCCTTCCCTCTATTCGAGAGAGCATGGGAACACAAGGGAACAGGCAAGGGAGACAGAGTTAATGCTGCTCCCAAGATCACCCACTCAGACCTTCCTGGAATGGGTTGAGCAGTTTCCCCAAATAGGAAGTGCTTTGGCTCTCTGTGTCCTGAAAGGATTGATCTTTCCCTGTTTATGCTGAGGCTCAAAGGGCCAAGTTTAATCCAGAGAAGCCTTTACACTTGGTTATTAGACAAGAGTGAGGTCAACAAGGGCTAATGGGGACTATTTCCATCCAGGCACATGGCCACTGCAGCCGCCAAGAAAAGGGTGTTCGCAGCCAAGGTCTGTCCGGGACTCGGGCCTCAACACCAGCGGCGGGAACCAGGGGCGTCACCGCAGCCAGTGTTCTGCTCTGGATTCTTTCTTTCCCCCACAGACTGCAGTGAATCTGGCTCTGACATAAGCGAATCCAGATGTGTGGGAACGCAGTTGGTTGAAGACAGCAAAAGAATCGCAGTGGCCTCAGCTCTCTCCGGAAGTGGAGGATGTTTTAGGAGACTGCCTGACTAGGGCTCACACTTCCCTGTTCAAATGCCTCCAAAGGTTTCCTGCAGCCCTGACTGGAGAGACAGCCTGGGCCAATGTTGCCCCAGCCCCACCTTACCCCGCTCCCCTCACTTTATCTGCTCCAGCCACATTTGCCTCCTGGTCATGCTAACCTGCCCACCCCAGAGCCTTTGCACATGCTGTTCTTTTGGCCTAGAATGATTTTTTCTTCCCACTTACCTGAGAAACTCGCATTCATCACTTGCTCAAGACAGCCTTCCCTGACCCTTTACTAGAGCTATAACTGTACATAGATGATTTACTTTTTATACTGTCTGCTCCCACTGTAGTCTAAGCTCCAGGAGGGCAGGAACCATATCTGATTCTTCTCTCTCTTGTATCCCCAACCCCTAGCACAGATCCTGTCACAGAGCAAGTAGCCAGTAAATACTGAGTGAGAGAGGGAGTGAGTGCGTGAATAAACAAGGAGTTTCAGCAGTGGTTACCATAGCTGTATAAGGCTCTGTCAATGTAAACGTTACCTAATTATCCAAATGTTCAGGGGGGTCTCCCTAGTTTGAGGGATCCCAGAGCTAAACAATGATCCAGGAGGCGCTTTGAGAGATCCAAATTAAGGCAACAAAAGAACCACGCGTCAGTGTCAAGTTTGAGAAACATGGAGTGGAAAGCAGGTCTTGGGGGAGAGAAAGAAGGTGGAGAGGACAGAATGGACCCAGCTCCTTCCTCTCCCACTACCAGCTCCACCCCAACTCCCAGAAACACCCCTCATCGACATGCCTGAGTGGGACGGGTCTGCCAGTGCCCCCCAGCAGATTCTCCCATCTTCCTTTAATAACTGAACCTCAAATTTCGGCTTTGTCTGTGGCTGCTCAGACTACATCTCCCAAGGCTAAGAAAACCTTTCCCTCAGCCCATTACTGCCGCCTTGACTTGGGCACAGTCAGCCCACAGAACAAGGGAAAGGGAAGGAAGGAAAATTTATGGCACCACTGATGGGGATGATGGTTATGAATGGGTGGATGTCCAGCCACACACCCATCGCACCCGCCGATTGAAGCCTCGGGCAGGCGGGCTCAGGGGCCGAGTGTCCTTCTCACTGCAGGGCTCGCTCTGGCCCCCACCACCAGGCCTAGTGGAGTCATCAAATAAATCCACATTAAGAAAAGGGGGGCAGGGGTGGGGGACTCAGCAGACACTTTCCTGAAATTCAATGGTAATAAAAGAGAAAAATGGACCCGCTCGCTCTAGACAACCAGTGCCAGAAAAGTAATTATCCCACTTTCTGGTCCTCTGCGAGGATGCCGGTGGCAGAGGCACCTGCCCAGGTAATTCATCAGCCTCAGGTTTATGGACTCCCCGGGAGCCTAATGTACAAAGACTCCTCTCCAGCTCACTTGAAACCATGCTATTTACATTTTGTCAAGATTATTGCTCTTCTCTGCCATCCCTGAGTGGGGAGGCAGGCACCATAATGGGTGGCACAAGTGAATATCGATTTGCCAGCACCAACCCTGAAGAAAAATCCCTACAAATGAGCCAGTTGTTGCCAACTGCCCAAGCCCTCCGCCGTGGAGGGCCGTGGTTTCCCCGTGAGTCACTAAGCTGCCGCTGTCACACCAGGCAGACAGAGAGCCCAGCTGCGTGATCATAGGGGAATAAGGTGTTGTATAGAAAGTACCTCAGTTTCCTCATCTGTGGAATGGGAATCACAGCACGTGCTGATGAGGGCTCTCATCTTCTTTATTGCTTAAAAGAGTTTTTAAGGGCTTCCCTGGTGGCACAGTGGTTGGGAGTCCGCCTGCCGATGCAGGGGACACGGGTTCGCGCCCCGGTCTGGGAAGATCCCACATGCCGCAGAGCGGCTGGGCCCGTGAGCCATGGACGCTGAGCCTGCGCGTCCGGAGCCTGTGCTCCGCAACGGGAGAGGCCACAACAGTGAGAGGCCCGCGTACCGCCAAAAAAAAAAAAAAAAAAAAAAAGAGTTTTTAAGATGAGCATATATTTCTTTTGTATGGAGAAAACTAAGCACAACGAAACACAGATAAAATGAGGGTGTAGTACACACCCCACTGATGTGCAGTGAGAGCTGAATTAGATGATACTCACGGCACCCACCGCACAGGGCTGGGCAGGTGCTGAGTGCACAATGCCTGGGGCTGCCAGGCCGCTCTGATGACTGTGGCGGATGCTGGATGTGCCTGTCGCAAATCAAGGCTCTTGGCAGGGTGCTGCCTGTGACACTGGACAGGGAGGGTGACTTCTCTGATTCATCCATCAAATAAGAAAGACACTGGCTTCCAGCCTAGAGGCAGGGGCATGGACTGCAGACCTTCTCATGCCATTTCCAGTCCCTGAAACCCCTGTTTGAGTCAACGAGGTGTTGGTGACCTTTGATGTCAACCCTTCAGGAGAACAAGACATGACCGCCGGGGTCTCTTCACTTTTCCATGGTCCAAAGCCTTCACTCACCTGATCACTCATTCATTCATTCAGGTGCCCAGAAGCACTTATTTAACACTTTATAAGCCATACCCTGGTCCTCCGGGAGCTCTAAGCCTGGTGGGTGAGGAATACAGGAGCAGGAGAGTCTGGTGCAGTTGGGAGGGCTGGCTGCAGGGATGTGTGGGACCTGGGGGAGCTCCAAGCAGAGCTTGTGTGAATCTGCCTGGGGAGGTTGGGCAAGCTTCACAGAATGACATTGAACTGAAGGGGGAGGGGGGGGAGTTTGTCGGGATGTCATGGTGGGAAGAGCACACCAGACAGAGGGAACAGCATGTGCAGAGGTTCAGAGGCTGGGAAGCATTTGGCCTGTTCAAGGAGGAGCACACGGTCTGGAATGGCTGGAGGATGGGCTGTAACTTTAAGGGGTGGAGCAGAGGTGAGAGATGAGGCTGGAGAGGCTGGTGCCTGGCAGACAGTTATGTCACCTCTCAGAGCCTCAGTTTCCTCATCTGTAAAATAAAGGCAATAACAGTTCCATCCTCATAGAGTTAAATAAGAAGCATAGCATTGTGCGAAGCACAGAGTAGGCCCTCACTAGTTGGTCCCCATCACTGGTCTGACAGGTATTGAGCTCCCCCTCAGCCCCTCTCAGGTCCTCCCTCTGGCTGCCCTGTCTCCCCATCCTGGCACCCACCCCTGCTTGTGCTCCAGGCCTGATGTCACCCCAAGGTTCTGAGTAGCTCTAGCCCAGCTCCAGGCTAGGCCACAAGCTCAGCGCCTGGTGCAGGGTGGGCATTTGTGCACATGGTTGAGCAGTCCTGTCGGGACAGCGTCCTCCTCCCGCTGCCCAGAGCTGCTGAGGCATGCCCTCCCACACCACACCCCTCTCCCCGCCCAGGGCACCATCCCAGCCTGCAGCCCTGCTCATGGTTCCTGGGACCTACATATGGGATCTGCTACATCCCAAAGGCCCCTATGAAGGGCACACCCATGAGATCCACTTCCTGTGGCTCTCACCTTTCTAAACTCTCTTGTCTGACAGGACAGCCTTGTCATCTCTCTGGGGCCTCCAAGGTTAACTGTACTCTGAGCTGCAATCAGCTGGTCTGGGCTTGGGGAAACCTGGGTCTTCTGAAGGCAGGCTGGGGGCACAGACATGCCAAAGTGAAGCCCTCCTGATTTCCTGATTCTGCCCGGTCTTAGAATGAGGTCATTTCCAGGAAAAAGAAACTGAGAGAAAGAATTAACAGCCAGACTGGTAAAACTAAAACATAAACATATGGCCATTCACAATAACACCATAAATAAGAAAATACTTAGGAATACATTTAACAAATGAAGGGCAAGATTGTGCACTGAACACTATGAAACATGGCTGAGATCAATTAAAGAACATCTAAATAAATGGAGAGATATTTCATGTTCATGGGCTACAAGACTCCATATTGTCAAGTTGGCAATTCTCCCCAAATGGATCTACATATTAAATGCAATCCTTATAAAAATCTCAGCAAGCTTTTTTTTATAGAAATTGACAAACTGACTCTAAAATTTATATGGAAATTCTAAGGACAGAGAATAGACCAATTCTAAGACAGAGAAAAGAACGAAGTTGGAGGACTGATACTACCTGACCTTGAAACATATTATAAGGCCATAGTAATCAAGATAGTGTGGCATTGGTGCAAGATAGGCATATAGATCAAAGAAAAGAAACTGAGTCCTAAAGTAAGCCATTAAATTTTTTTTTTTTTCGGTACGCGGGCCTCTCACTGTTGTGGCCTCTCCCGTTGCAGAGCACAGGCTCCGGACGCGCAGGATCAGCGGCCATGGCTCACGGGCCCAGCCGCTCCGCGGCATGTGGGATCTTCCCGGACCGGGGCACAAACCCGTGTCCCCCGCATCGGCAGGCGGACTGTCAACCACTGCGCCACCAGGGAAGACCTAGTAAGCCATTAAATTTATGGTGAATTGTTTTTTAACTAAGGTCCAAAGACAATTCAATGTCTTCTTGAATTGTCAAGGCATGTTTGACCATTTGTTCAAACTTGTCAACTAATGATGCTGGGGCAGTTGGCTACCCACGTGAACTTAAACCCTCACCTCATTCCATACACAAAAATTAACCCCAAATGGATTAAAGACTTAAATATAAGAGCTAAAACCATAAAACTCCCAGAAGAAAACAAAGGAATACATCTTCATGACGTTGTGTTAGGCGAAGAATTTTTCGCCTTTTGGAAGAGACCAAAAAGAAGATCCATAAAAGAAAAAAAAATCAGCAAATTTACTTTATCAAAATTTTAAAAATTTGTTTCAAAGGACACCATTCAGAAAATGAAAAGACAAGCCCACAGACTGGGAGGAAATATTTGTAAATCGCGTACTGATTAAGGTATTGTATCCAAAATATATCAAGAACACTTATAATTCAATAATAAGAAGACAAACAACTCAATTTAAAAATAGGCTAAAGACTTGTGTAGACATTTCACCGAAGAAAATATATGGATGGCTAATTAGCTCATAAAAACATGCTTAACATATTCAACTAATGAGATTAGTCATTAGGTAAATGCAAACTAAAACCAGCAGTGAGATACTAATTCACACCCACTTAAAGAAGTAGAGAAATAGAAACTCTCTCATACTGCAGGTAGAAATGTAAAATAGTATAATTACTCTCGGGAAACAGTATGGCAGTTTCTTAAAAAGCTAAACATAAACTTACCATAATACCCAGCAATTCCATTCCCAGGAATCTCCCTAAAAGAAATAAAAAACCTATGTTCACAAAAAGATTCATATGCAGACGTTCATAGCAGCATTATTCATGACAACCAAAATGCAGAACAGCCCAAATGTCCATAAATGTGAGTATCCATCCAGTGGATACCACTCAGCAATAAAAAGGAAGAGCTACTGACACATATTACACATGAATGACCTCAAATATATTATGCAAAGAAGCCAGATGCAAAAGACTACATACAGTAAGACTCCCTTTATATGAAGAGTCCACAAAAGGCAAACTTACAGAGACAGAAATCAGACCTCGAATGCCTGGGACATTATGTGTGTTTGGAGGGGAGGGGAAGGTGGGGATTAACTGCAAGCAAACACAAGGGAACTTTGGGGGTGATAGAAATGTTCAATAACTGGATTTTGGTGATGGTTACACAACTCTTGTTTGTGTGTGTGTCTATGTGTTCAACATTCTTTGATATTATACATAAACTACACTAAAATGCCTTTCATTAAATAAAAGGCAACATTTTAGATACAGGGAATTTTAATTAAATAGGCATAGTTAAGACCAAAAAGATAAAGTAGACATTGCCAACTTATCTTCAACCCTTGCCTTAACAGGCTGGTAAACACAACTTGAAACACACAGGTGAGTCTTGCTCTGTTTTATGAAACAATAAAGGAATCTCCTCTGTACTTAAATATGTCAATATAACCTGTTGTATAGATCTACCTATAAAACCAAACTCCTATAGGTTTTGAGATGGCATTCACCATCTCTGTGAAAAGTTGAACATTACTAATCAAATTCAATCATATCTTTGGGGAAGGGGAAAACAGTGACAGCCCTTGCTGAACCAGAATTACTATCAAAATTCAAAAAGCTGACCATCGTTTAGCCACAAGGCAATCCTATTTAAATCAGGACTGTCCAACAGAAATATTCTATCAGCCATTCATCATCTGAGTTCTGGTATATGAGATCAGTTTAGATACGGTATGCATAAAAAGGTCATAGACATTTCTGTGCTGTAATAAATAGGGCAGTAGCCATCTATTACTCATTAGTAGCTTTTCTGAGAGAAGTTACTAAGTCTACGCTTTCTGCCTTCTTAATGCCAGTGAAGATTACTTTTGTTCCAGGGATGTACTACTTAGGATTCTCCAAATACTCCCCAGTGATGCCTTTGTTCTTTTTTTTTTTTTGATAATTTCTTCTTTATTTGTTGGCTATAACTCTTCTACAAGGAAGAAACCTCTGTTCAGCTGTTTGTTTACTCTGAATTACAATTTTCACAGGAAAGGTAGGAGACACACACGATTCTGCTTACTTTAGCAATGTTTAAATCAGAACCTCAACAGATTTCTCTTTTTTTTTTTTTTTTTTTTGCGGTATGCGGGCCTCTCACTGCTGTGGCCTCTCCCATTGCGGAGCACAGGCTCCGGACGCGCAGGCCCAGCGGCCATGGCTCACGGGCTCAGCCACTCCGCGGCATGTGGGATCTTCCCAGACCGGGGCACAAACCCGCGTCCCCTGCATCGGCAGGCGGACTTTCAACCACTGCGCCACCAGGGAAGCCCCATGCCTTTGCTCTTGATGACGTCTGTGTAAGAGAATCCAGGGTCCTGAACTGTTTTTTGCCCAAATAGAGCATGGAGGTTTGGTCCAGTCTTGTGCTTACCTCCCTTTTCCACGGTAGGGCACTGGACACGCTGCTGAAAAATCGTCTTGCCCCTCTCCACATCATCCACTTTGAAATTGTTCCTTTGTCATATGTGATACGAAAGTTCCAATACAAGTTGGATGTCCACTTTCTCCACAACTCTTGAAGTTTACTAAACATCACTGAATCATATTCTTAAAATGGGTGAATTTTATTATAACTTATATGTCAATAAAACTATTTAAAAGAAACAACTACATGGGAATGCCTCACAGAGCTGGCTAAATGAGGAAGACGATAGGTGATGAACACAGTTCTCTGCCAGCTCCCATTTCCTTCTGAGAAAAGAAGAAGGAGCTGGAGAGTGGTCTTAGTGTTTTGGACCAGTCTTAGCAGGAACAACTCCCACAACTCTTAGAATAAAGGCCCAACTCCGTGCTGGCCAGGCCCTGCCCTCTCCAGCATCAGTTCCCAACACTCTCCCATGCCTTATGTCCTCCCCAAATACACTGGCCTTCTTTCAAGACTTAATATTTATGTAGTCCTTCCCACCTCAGGGCCCCTGCATGTGCTGTCACCCCTACCAGAAACACATTTCACTTTCTGCCTAGGTACCTTCTACTCAATCTTGAGACCTCAGCTCCATTGTCTCTTCCTTGGGGAAGCCTTCCTTGATTTCCTGAGCTTGGTCAAATTCCTCTATGAATTGGTATCATAGACCCTTTCTCCCTATATAATTTACCACAGTAGCAACTTTTTATTTATTTGTGATATCATGACTCATGTTAGACCAGTCACCGTGAAGATAGGAAACATGTCTAGTTTGCTCACCATTGTATCCCAGGGCCCAGCACAGTGCCTGCCACATAGCAGATGCTCAGTTAATTGTTAATGACTTGCTGAAAGTTAAAATTCTAAACTTCTTAAGATCAGGGGGTTGTAGTATTCAAAACTTCTGTCATTTTGAGATATGACAACTCAATACATTATGCAATTATTATGTTCCTGAAACATTTCATGCGCCAGAGAGCAAAAAAATCTACAAAAAACTAGTAAAACCTGACCTTGAAGTTTATGGTTTCATCATTTAAGAAGCTTTTTTCTCTTCTCTAGCCAGGCTGAACAAGAAAACAGGAGAGAATGTACAAATTACCAATATCAGAAATGAAAAAACGGTCATCAGTACTGATCCCATGGACATCAAAAAGATACTAAGAGAATAATAAGGGAACAACTTTATGCACACAAATTTGATAACTTAGCTGAAATGGACCAGCTCCTTGAAAGACACAAACTACCAACACTCACAGAAAGGCAAATAGATAACCTGCATAGCCCTTCAGCTATTAAAGAAATCAAATCAATAATTCTTTTAAAGTCTTCCAAAAAAGCAAACAACAGGCCCAGATGGTTTTGCTGGTGAATTCTACCAAACATTTAAGGAAGAAATATTACCAATTCTCTACAATCTTTTCCAAAAAATAGAAACAGAGGGAACACATCTTAATTCATCCTATGAGGTCAATAGTATCCCAATACCTAAAAAAAAGACATTATAACAAAAGAAAAGTACAGATCAATATCTCTTACGAACAGACACAAAAATTATCAAGAAAGTATTAGCGAATCAAATCTGACAACGTATAACAAGGATGAATATGTCAAACAAGTGGATTTTATTCCAGGTTTATGGGCTAGAAGACTCTGTACTGTCAAGAACTGTTAACATTTGAAAATGCAAGGATAGTTCAACATTTGAAAATCAGTCAGTGTAATCCACCATAGCAAAAGGCTAAAGAAGAAAAATCATATCAATTGATGCAGTAAAAGCATTTAACAAAATCTAATGCCTATTCATCATCATTCAAAAAAAAAAACAAAACACAGAAACCTCTCAGCAAACTAGGAATAGAGGAAAACTTCTTCAACACAATAAAGAACATCTACAAAAAACCTACAGCCAACATCATATCAATACTTAATGGTGAGATTAAGATCAAGAATAAAGTAAGGATATCTTCTTTCTTATCACTCCTATTCAACATCATACTGGAAATCCTAGCTAGTGCAATGAGACATGAAAAAAAAATTAAAAGCGTATATATCACTGTCTTCATTCATAGTTGGCATGGTTTTTTACAGAAAATCACCAAAATTCTGCAAAAAAAAAAACCTAAAATAAGTATAGCAAGGCCACAGGATACAAGGTTAATATACAAAAGTCTATTGCTTTTCTACATACCAGCAATGAACAAATGGAATTTGATTTTTTTAAATACCACTTACAATAGCACCAAAAAACCAAAGAACTTAGGTATATATATAACAAAATATGTTCAGGATCTATATACTAAAAAACACAGATAAAAGAAATTTTTGCAGGTCTAAGTAGAAGAGACAGTCCATATTCATGAACTGAGGTTCAATATTGTTAAGACATCAATTCTTTTCAACTTGACATATAGACTCAATGCAATACCAGTCAAAATCCCAGTAAGTTATTTTGTAGATATCAACAAGCTGATTTATGTGGAAACATAATACTGAAAAAGAACAAAGTTGGAAGACTCACATTATCCAATTTCAAGATTAACTATAAAGCTACAGTTTTCAAGACACTGAAAGTTAGACACTTAGATCAGTGGAACAGAATAGAGAACCCCAAAATAGACCCACATAAAAATAGTCAACTGGTCTTTTACAAAAGGGCGTGGCAAGTCAATGGAAAAATAATAGTGTTTGCAACAAATGGTGCTGGAATAATTGTATAACTATTTGCAAAAACAAATGAACCCAGGCACAGACCTCAGCATCTTTCACAAAAATTAACACAAAATTGATCATAGACCTAAATGTAAAATGCAAACTATAAAATTTCTAGAAGAAAACACAGGAGAAAATCTAGGTGACTTTGGCAGCTATTCCCCCTGCCATCCCTCAGCTACCCTTCTGTGTATAGTTATGCCCCTTCTGGCTGCCCCACCAGCCTGAGAGATGTTGAAGATAAACACAGCCAGACATTAGTTACAGCAGTGAAAACAGAATTTATTCAATAACTACTGACACTATGGGAAAGAGCTGAGCTCTACCCCAATCTGTGCAGAGGTGATTGGGTGTTTTAAAGGGAGAATGATGAGGAAGAGAGGCAATGGCAGGGTCTTGAGCAGAGTCAGGAAAGTGAAAAATTACAAAGAGTGGGAAGGAAGGTTGGTCCACGTAAAACCCATCTGGGTTTGCTAAGTGGCACTCATTGAGTTAGGCTCCTGCCCTCCCATGAAGGTTGGGAGACAGCAGCCATATCTTCAGGTGTTGGCTGGAACAAACAAAACTTCTTTGGGCATCCTTGAGCTTTGT